TATTAACTGTTCACAGACCTCTTTACAGCCACCCTTATTTGGCATGTCCACTGAAAGTAGGACAAGAAGTAGTGGGCTTAATTTGCAGTAAGGGAGACTTACAACTTTCTAACTATAAGGCTAGTTAAGCTCTGGAATAGGCTTCCAAGGGAGGCTGTGGAATCCCTAACATTGGTGGGTTTTAAGAACAAGTTAGACAAACACCTGTCAGGGATGGTCCAGGCATACCTGGTGTTGCCTTAGCATTGGGGGCTGGAGTAGATGACCTCTGAGGTCCCTTCCAGCCCTACATTTCTATGATGCTAAGGAGGGGCATGATCAACACCTGTCAGGAAGCAATTCTTCTGTAGGAACAGGGTCTTCAGAACTACATCAACCTTTTAGCTCTATGTATTGTGGGACACAACAATCTGGTTCATATCAGAAGAAATAGCTTCTCTAATGCACAAATGGACTTGAGAGCCATATCCTATTGGGGTTCCCACTCATGGATATCTTTGACCATCTAGAAGGCAAAATATGACCTCTTCTGCTTGGATGAATGAGTCAAGCTCCAGCTAAGATGCTCTTCTGATTCACTGGGACAGCCACTTCATATAGGCCTTCCCACCATCTCCACTAATTCCCAGAGTCCTTTGGCAGGATGAGATGAGGGAACCATTTGATACTCCTAGCATCAGGTTGGCAACACCAGTTTTTACTTATTTTTATTTTGGAACTCTTCCATCTTGTAGTTAACCACCTATTGTTACCACCTCTTCTGGACCTGGTTTCACAAAACTATCATCTAATCCTTCATCCAAATTTGCAGTCTGTATCGAAGTTCCCTCTAAGCTGCATGGCTGCACAGCAGCCTATTAAGCACCGCTCAAGCTGCAGCAGGGAGAGATGCCCCTCCCTCTGCCCGATCCCAGACCTGCCATGGCCAGGGGAGAGAGCTTGCGGGGAGGGGGGGAGAATTCTCTCTCTCGCCTTCCTTCCCCCCCCACCAGCCCTGAGGCAGCTGACACCCCTGCATCTCAACCCTCAGCCCCACCCCCACCATATGAATTTTATGTCAACCAATATGGAGGTTGTGTCCCACACAATTAATTCTGCACATGTGTCTGAAAATTACAGGGAACATTGGGCTGAATCTAACAACTTGAATGCTGGTTGGTTGACCTACATGGGTAGAAGCTGCTTGGTATAGTTTCAGGACTTTCTGATTCAGAGCAGGTAAGTATCCATCAGGTTAAGATAGAGAAATGTTTCTTTTTGTGCCTGAGTGGACTAGTAAACATTGCCTTCATCCACTGGAGACGTCCATTCCTGACACCTTGAGCTATAAACTGGTTTGAGTCCACTTGGCCACAATATCAGCCTCTCATCCTCTCATACAAGATTTCTCAGTCTGTTTTCCAACAGTACCTTGATTTCTGAAACTGCAAATGTATTTTCTCTGTCTAGCCATTCTGTATGGGATTCCATTATTGTCCTTTCTTCTGATAGAACTGCCTTTCAAATAGCATCAGATTGTTTTACCTATCGAGTAAGACTACTTTCTGAGTGGCCACCAGTTCAGCTTGCAGGAATGAGTGAGATTCAAGCCGTGGTGGTGGTGGTCATTCTGCTCTGTGTGTTGCAAGGACAACTTTGAAACAACCTTTAGGCAAGGTCTTACGCTTTCACCTGAGCAATACATATTTATGCTTTCATTTCAAGGGGCAAAACTTCATATATGGATAGTGATTTCTTTAATATTAAAGGAATACTTTGGGGAATTATGCCATAATGGGAGACTTTAATTTCCTGGATAGGGATGGAGAATAAATGCTACCAGCACTGGTAGGGCCCCTTTACCTGTGGGTGTGATAGATGACCATCTTTTCTTTACCAAGCTGTCACTGAAGTAACGAGGTGGTGCCATTTTAGACCTGGTTTTAGTAAGTAGTGACAGGTTTCAGAGTGAGAATATCTTAGAGCTGGCTGTCAGAAATAACCTTGGATCAAGAACCAATTTGGTAAGAATGAAATAGAAGGCTAATCAAAACCATGTCATCAACTGGTGGTTTTTTTTACTTCAAAAGAGCAGACTTGGGGAAATCAAGGGAATGAATTAAAGAAGTCAATTGGGCTGAAGAGCTCGGTGACTTAAATGTGAAGGAGGCTTAGTTTTTGTATATCTGGTTTGAAGAAACTCGATCTGAAATTTTCATCCCAAGCAAGAGGGGAAATTTGTAGGGAAAGGCTCCAGACCCCACTGAATGAATGACCACCTCAGAAGTTTAGGAGTAAGCAGAGAGCCCATAGGGAACAGAAAATAATTGATCTGCAAAGAAAACTACATTGCAGAAGCTAGAAAATGTGGGAATAAAGTAAGGTTTGCTAAAAGTCAAGATGGATTAGTGTTTATCGAGGAAATTAAAATGGTGGTGGTTTTTTTTTTTTTAGTTGTATGAACAAGGATGGAGGAGGTTAAGTTGCTATGCTGTGTGGATGAGAAGGAGATTAAAGATAAACTAGATGTGGTCCAAAACCTAAATGTGTCAGTTTTCAATAATATGGAGCATGAAGGCAGTGCAGCTGATGGAAATGAGTGTCTAGAAATGGAAACCAAGCTCTTTTATTTATATATATATATTTTTTTTCTTCCACCTCCCAGAATACTGAAATGTGGCATGTTAGACTGATGGTCAGTAGTAGTGGAGTTCCTCAAGTACTGATCTTTAGTGAAAATACTTATGACCTTGGCACAAAAAGTAGGTGTGCTAATGAAACTTGCTGATACCCAGTTGGGAGGCATTGTCAGTACAGAGGAGGATGGGAATATTATACAGGAAGATCTGGATGACGTCAAAACTTCACCCCATTTCTCTCCAGTCTACAATAGACACACCTGGATATGTAGGTCAATATCAAATAACCATGAGCAACCAGTGTGGCTGAAAAGGCAAGTGCAGTTTTAGGATTGCATTAGGAAAGGCATTTCCAGTAGAGAAAAGTATGAATGCTGTTGTACAAGACATTGGGAAGACCTCATTTGAAATACTGTGTAAAATTCTGGTCATCCATGTTCAAGGAAAAACAAATGAACTGGTACAGAAAGCTAGTAGGATGATTAGGTGAATGGAGGACCTATCTTATGAGAGGAAGACTGGAAGAGCTTGGCTTGTTTAGGTTGGCAGAAAGAATGCTGAGAGGGGATGTGATTGTTCTTAATAAATATATTAAGAGGGGTAAGTACCAGGGAGGGTGAAGAGCTGCTTAAGCTAAAGGACAGTATGACCACAAGAACAAATGAGTATAAACTGGCCATGAATATATTAAGGCTGGAATTTAACAGAAGGTTTCTAACTATCAGAGGGGTGAGGTTCTGGAACAGACTCCCAGTAAGTTGTGGGGGCAGACAACTTGCTTAGCTTTTTAAGGCCACTGGACAAATAAGATGCAATTGAATTACAGGGTTGCTTGTGATGGTAGAGGGCAGGGCTCAACAGCCTTGGGGCTCACTTCTAGTTTCTTACATGCCTAAAGTTCAGGCTCTGGGGTTTCGATCAGGAAGGGCTTCTTTCTTCCCCCTCCAAAAAAAGTTCTGGGAAGCTTATCTCCTTGCCCTGAAGCATCAGGAATGGCCATGGCTGGAGATAGAGCTCTGGCCCACCCCACCTAGAGTCCTATCTGTGTCATACACTTAGTTTGTTGGTTTGTGCTCTCATGTTTGGGTCAAATTGATCACAGTTTGGGGTTGGGGAAGGAATTTTTCCCCTAGGTCAGATGGGCAGTGACATTGAGGTTTTCACCTTCTCTGCAGAATGTGGGTACAGGTCACTTGCCAGGGTTATCTGAATGTACTTCACTTAACCATTTCTCTGGAAACAAGGGGGCTTTGAGCATCCTCCTGCACCCCCAACCTCCTTCTGACAACATAAATTACTATAGGTTCAGTTCTCCTGCCTGGGGTCATGAGTCTGTCTGACTCCCACTGCCCTGGGTGGGGAGCCAAAGCCCAAGCCCCACTGCTGTGGGTAGGGAAGGGGTCAAAGCCCAAGGGCTTCAGCCCCAGCCAGGGGGCCTGTAACCTGACAGCTGAATCCCTCAGGCTTCAGCTTCCACCCTGGGTGGTGGGGCTTGGGATTCAGCCCTGAGCCCCAGCAAGTCTAAGCCAGCCCTGGCAACCCCATTTAAATGGGGTCATGACCCACTTTCGGGTTCTGACCCACAGTTTGAGAACTGCTGCCATAATGTATATGGCCAGCCTGGAAGCACAACAAGCAAGATACAAATAGCCTCCCAGTCGATGAGGGGGACATAAAATAGAACCCCTGGCACTAGTTTCTTCTAGTCTTTTTCCCAACCCTAATCCCACTAGACTACCTTTGGTCCTTGTGAACCACTACCTTGTGACTAAGTTGTAGGGACACTGACTTGTTTCTGCTACTCTTCTGGATCCTGAAAGACTTTTCAGTTCCTTCAAAAGAAAAAATACTGGTTAAAAATACTGACTTTTCAAATACAGCAAGAATAGTCTCCCCATCTTGCTCCTGTGCTCTGACTCATAAGACTAAAATGTACCCTCCAATACTCAGGATACCACACTACATAGTAAGTACCCTTGCTATTGTGTCAATTTTGAGGTCTGCAAGACTGACTACTGAATTACAAGTCCTCTGGCATTGCCTGTTGAGCCTCAAACTTGTTCTGGCACTTACCTTCTCAGGATTTCCCTCCTGGATCTTTGGCTTCTCTTCTGAAGCAGGCAGATTAGGGATCATGATAGGAATTTAGTCCCTACTAGATACTGGACTGAGCCTAGGGACGTACTACATATAAAGTGAGTTGTAAAATTTTTTTGCAGGTGGGGATGAGGATGATGAGTTAAGGGACACCAGACCCTGACCAGTGACTATTTATTTTTATAACCAGTCCTCCTCCCAACCTCTGTATGCTAGTTAAGTATGCAGATTATATTAAAGTGCACAAAGGTTCACAAATTTGTTTTCTTTTCTTTTTTTAAACAGAGCTCAACAAAAATCCAGTGGAAGGTTTTTCAGCAGGTTTAATAGACGACAATGATCTTTACCGATGGGAAGTCCTCATTATTGGTCCTCCAGATACATTGTAGTAAGTACTAGCAATCCTAGTAAAACAGCGTACCCTGGCTTGTTAAAACTTCTTGCTGAGATTTTAATCGCAATGTGTAGTTAGAGAGCCTATTCCTTCACCCTCTCTCTTCCCTGGTCCTTCTCGCATGAACAGAGAGCAGCAATACCCAAAGGTGCAAACAATTCAGTGTTTGTTTGGGATGAACTTCCAACAAGCAACAATTCCAATTTCCTTCCTCAGTGTTCCCCTTCCTAGCTCTGATGCCACAGAGCCTTGCCTGTGTCCCTGTTCCCATTCTCCCCTCCTTAGCAAAATATGATTCCAATTTCCCCCACCCCTGTTCCCATCCCCCTGTTACACTATAGTCTGCAGTCTATCAGGAAGTAACTTGAATTCTGCTTAGCTATACTTAAATTTCAGTAAAATGATTTATTAAACTAACCAATCCTAACATTGTAACATGATTATCTAACTAATTATATCCCACCACCTTAATTGGTTTAAACTCAACAAAACTAATTATACAGCAGACAGAAACAATCCCAGAACCAGACAGATTATACAGACAAACAATAGGGAAATGGGGATGACCGTGATGGAACAACAAAGAAATGAAGGATTTCACACCCCAGCTATTGATAAGTGAGTTCCTGCCAGACAGGATGCTATCAAACTAAATTTTATTTAAATCTTCTAGGCTCTTCTTTCTCTGAAGGTGATGGATTGGATCACTTTTTTTTAACAGTCCAAAACTGCCTTATGTCAGTGTGACTGGTGAAGACATGATCATTCACTTCCTAGCTTATGGCTACCTCTGCTGCTTAGCCAAAGATCTTAGCCTAAGAACAAGGCCTCAGACTATCCTAGGGAGAGAAGGCCTATAAGCAGGCAGAGTGATTTTGATTCTTGTTTTGTACATCTAACTGAGAATTTAGGTACATACGTTTATCATTGAGCTAAAGTATAGGCCTTTGCAGACAGACCTGAATATCTATATCCTAACAGTAGTGTTCACATTAACCCTAATTTAAGAGTAGGGCTTTAATGTCTTGGTGCTCTTTTTACAGCAGACGTAGCTGCATTACTGAATGTGTGCTGCATCTTACATTGCAAATACCTCTCATAGCAAAACTATTTGCAAGTTCTAAACAGGTTATTTTCTCTGTGGAACATGAAAAATGATCCTTCGTTGTGCATTTATTTGACCCCTCTTTGGGGAGGGAATAGAGGAACTTCTGGAATCCTCTACTTGCTCATAAGAATGGTCATACTGGGTCAAACCAAAGGTCCATCTAGCCCAGTATCCTGTCTTCCGTCAGTGGCCAGTGCCAGGTGCCCCAGAGGGAATGAACAGAACAGGTAATCAAGTGATCCATCCCCTGTCACCAATTCCCAGCTTCTGGCAAACAAACTTATGGTTACCATCTATGCCCAAGCTGGCTAATAGCTGTTGATGGACCTATCCTCCATGAATTTATCTAGTTCTTTTTTGAACCCTGTTAGTCTTGTCCTTCACAACATCCTCTGGCAAAGAGTTTCACAGGTTGACTGTGCATTGTGTGAAGAAATACTTTTTAAAAAAAAAAAAAAAACCTGCTGTCTATAATGTCATTTGGTGATGCCTAGATCTTGTGTTATGAGAAGGAGTAAATAACATGTCCTGATTTACTTTCTCCACATCCATCATGATTTTATAGACTCTATCATATTTCCCCAGTCATCTTTTTCCAAGCTTTTTGAAAACTCCCAGTCTTATTAACTGCTTCTCATATGGAAGCTGTTCCATACCTTAATCATTTTTGTTGCCCTTTTTCTGAACCTTTTCCAGTTCCAATATCTTTTTTTTTTGAGATGGGGAGATCACATCTGCATGCAGTATTAAAGATGTGGGCATACCATGGATTTATATAGAAGCAATATGATATGTTCTGTCGTCTTATCTATCCCTTTCTTAATGGTTCCCAACATTATCCTTTTTTTTGGCTGCTGCTGCACGTTGAGTGGATGCTTTCAGAGAACTATCTGCAATGACTCAAAAAATCTTCCTTGAGTGGTAACAGCTAATTTAGACCCTCATTTTATAATTATAGTTGGAATTGTTTTCTAGTGTGCATTCCTTTGCATTTATCAAGATTGAATTTCATCTGCAATTTTGTTGCCCAGTCACCCATGTGCACGTAGCCCTTCGTCTACAGCAGATCTCTCGAGCTATATGTTCCCTCCCTCCAATGCCCAACAGGGCTCCAAATAACTTACTTAAGGATTCGGGGGTGGGGCTAGAGGACAGTTGACTTGTGTAATGCAAGGTGCTCCCTGCCCATGAATCTTGGGACCCAAATTTAAAATACTTATTCCTCTTTCCAGTGCCTGGAATCGCTCAACCTAGAACATGCTTATAAAGTAACACTTAGAAGCAGTCTGAATGTACTGATATAAATGGATGGGTAACAGTTGTCAAGATAGTCAAGCCTTTACCCTGAAGAGTACTAAGATGCCCTTATGGCAAGTCCTAAATCTTTGTTTATGGAAGTAGAAGCTGTATTGAAGAATTAAACCACTCTGTCTTGCCATTACTCTTGCTTCAAAGGGTTATTGGAGCATGCACTTTTAATTGATGGTACTTCATTTAACCAAGTGAAATTTTGACCAGATAAACTAAGCAATGTCAATAGCTGACTGAAACCTTTTGAGTGCTACAAAAATTACTTGGCTCTAATCGTAGTAAGTATATCATTCATAGAATATCAAAGACCAGTGGCACAAAAGGTTGAGACAACTGGTAACTTGGTTAGCTGCAGCAGATAGCCACTGATGTCCTTTGTGCCTTGTCAAGCCTTATGTATTTCATACTGTATTTAGTGTCTTTCCAAAGTCTGCTAAAGAAGACTTAGTATGTTTGAGAGAGGCATTTCCCCGCATGGCAACCCTGTACCTGGTTTAGCCTGCCAGTTGAACCAGTGTCATGGGGCATGACTGCTACTGCTGCCTACTGGCAGCTACTTGGGGTGTAAAAGAGGTAGTACCTCAAAGTCAAAACAGTCACATTTTTCATTCATCCTTTTTTTTTTTTGCACCAAGCTCTGACATAAAAATGGTCATAATGGGTCAGTATCCCATCTTCTGACAGTAGCTACTGTCCTATGCCTCAGGAAAATGAACAGAACAAGGCAGTTATTGAGAGATCCATCCACTGAGCACCAACCGTAGTGGTGGGGTTGCATGCCTGACCATCTTGGTCAATAGCCATTGATGGACCTGTCCTCCATGTATTTATCTAATTCTTAGACCTTCACAACATCCACTGGCAAAGAGTTCTATAGGTTGACTGCATGTTGTGGTAAGTACACACAGTGATTATTAGCCAAGATGGTCAGGGATGCACATCCCATGTTTTGGACATCCCTTAAACCTCTGACCTCCAGAATCTGAGACTGGATGACAGGAGATGGATTGCTCAATAAATTGCCCTGTTCTGTTCATTCCCTCTGAAGCATCTGGCACTAGTCACTTTCAGAAGATGTGATAGTGGGCTAAATGGGCCATTGGTCTGACCCAGTGTGGCCATTATTATGTGAGAGCTGGCTGCAAAGTGAGGATCAGTTTAAAAAGAAACTCAGAGTGCAACTGTCCTGATTTTCAGAAGTACTGCTTCTCCTTCTATACCCATATAATCAAAATCTGATAGTGGCCTCTCAAACCATTTTCCCCCCATATCTAATGGGGTGAAACCAGCTGCATGCTGGCATCAGTCCTCTTGAGTCTCCTTCATAGCCATTCTGAATTATGCAACGGACAACCTTCAAAAGGGCATTTACATAAGTAGGGCCCTACCAAATTCACAGCCATGGAATAATGTGTCCTAGTTAATGAAAGTTGGCCTCCCCCTGTGGTCTTTGTGTGCTTTTACCCTACTTGGAGGCGGGAGACCAGTGTTTCTCAAACTGGGGGTCCTGATCCAAAAGGAAGCTGCAGGAAGATTACAAGGTTATTTTATAGGGGTCATGGTATTGCCACCCTTACTTCTACACTTCCTTCAGAGCTGGGCAGCCAAAGAGTGGTGGCTGTTGGCTGGGCACCCAGCTCTGAAGGCAGCACCCCACCAGCAGCAGTGCAGAAGTAAGGGTGGCAATACCAGACAAGGCCACCTTACTTCTGTGTTGCTGTCTTCAGAGCTGGGCAGCCAGAGAGTAGCAGCTGCTGAGGGCCCAGCTCTGCAGGCAGAAGTAAGGGCGGTAATGCCATATCATGCCATCCTTATTTCTGTGCTGCTGCTGGCAGTCGGTCTGTCTTCAGAGCTGCGCTCCCAACCAGCAGCCACCGCTCTCTAGCGGCCAGGCTGTAAAGGCAGCACCGCCGCTAGCAGCAGCACAGAAATAAGAGTAGCAGTATTGTAACCCCCTTACAGTGCCCTTGTGAACCCCCATCTCCTTTGTGGGTCAGGACCCCTACAATTGCAACACTGGGAAATTCCACATTTAAATAGCTGAAATGATGAAATTTACAATTTTTGAGATCCCCTGACTGTGAGATTGACCAGAATGGACGATGAATTGGGTAGGGCCCTGTACATAAGGCAAAACTGATAGAAAACTCTTCAGTCTCAAAAAGCTTACTACAACAAGTCCTTGAGGAACTAGTATGTTTAAGTCCTTTTTGTGGATCATTGTGCTCTACTTAGTCATAGTGTAAGTGATCTACAGGTTATTCTGGACAGGTTTTCAGAGGCAGCTAAACAAAGCTTGTGCTCAAATTGGTTAGTCTCTAAGGTGCCACAAGTACTCCTTTTTTCTTTTTGCGAATACAGACTACAATGGCTGCTACTCTGAAACCTAAACAATTTGAATTCACCATCAACCAGGGGCAAAAAATGAAATCCTTTTCTAACCAGTCCCATCAACCACTGCGCAAACATCCTCCTCAATGGTATAAAAAGCATGTCAAACGCTTCACATTGTGGTAGTACCATATCAAGTGATAGTTCCCTGATTCAAAAAGCCTGGCTTGCCTTTATTTTGTGTTTCTTGAATCATTCATCATAGGATACTCTATCAGCAGATCATCACTGTCGTCAAAACTGATATTCAGTGTAGCATCCCTTTATACAGGTGAGAGAAATGCTGTCTTTGCTCTCTTCTGAAGGTCTGCTGGCAAGACCAAGCATCAAACTTTTCATCCGGGGGGGAGGGGAATGGAACAAACCACACTGAGACAATGGTTATCAGAAGCTCAGCTTTGATTGACAGGTCACATCAGAAGTGGGGGTGCTGGACTTTTTGGGGGCATATAAGATGAGCTGAAACTCAAACGCAGCAAGGGGTGGTCAGTGTAAATGCCTCTGCCACCCTTGAGCAGCATCTCAACTCGCGTGGCATAAGTATTTCTCTTTGCAAACAGAGCCAGGGACAGACCTGAATGGGGGACAACTATTAAAGGTTGTAAACATTTTGAGTGACTGTTGTGGGGGGGGGGGGGGAGGGAGGGAGGTGAGAAGGAAGGACCAAGCATCGTGCTTCGTCTCCAGTGGGAGCATGCCAGTAGGACATCTGTTTGCAATCTTGCTGCTTGCAAATCGAATTGCACAGATGTGAGAGGGCACAAGATGCCATGACTTAATCTTCACAGAAGCAAACAGCCATATGTAAATCATAGTTCAGGGTGGCACTTTGTAGCTGTTTATTTGCTTAGAACTACCGTTAGGGCAGAAATCTGGGAGCTGTAACTTGTTAGGGTCTCACCTTTGTTTTCTTTCCTCCTTTTCCTGTGGGAGAAGGGTAACCACCTTCTGCTGGATATTCCCTAGGCCAGGGGTTCTCAAACTTTTTTGCTGGGGTCCCCTTTGGAAATATTTCAGGCAGTTGACACCTCCAATATCAGGCCACCCTTACTTCTGGCAGTGGTACTGCCTTTAAAGCTGGGCACCTAGCCAGCAGCTGCTGATCTCTGATTGCCCAGCTCTAAAGGCAGCACAGAAGTAATGGTGGCAATACTGTAATCCCCACACACACACACAGGCTTTGTGACCCCCTTTTGAGTCAGGATCCACAGTTTGAGAAATGCTGCCTTATGCTCAGGCAGATTCAAATGAAGTGGTGTCCTGCTTTCTCTGAGATGCTTCCTGCCCCCATCCCAGCCTAGCAGTGGAGCCGCCAGGACTAATCCCTTGACTATAGTACTGATTTGCCTGCTGCAAGGGACTGCTGAGCATCTGCAGCAGGGAGAGGATAGTAGCTGCTTCAGTGAGGGAGGCATTGCCCCTACTTGACTGATTCAAGCAACTCTCTAAATTTCAGGGCTCAGAATGATGAGCTTACAATAAGATTCTGTCTCTTTGCAACTTAACACCCAGGTTGGACGCCACTGGCTTAATTTCACTGCTGCACTCGATTCAATTTCCTGATCTCCGGAAATGTCCTATTCTGACTCAACTCGGCTGACTTCAGATGGGAACTGAACAGCTTGTTTAAGGTCTAAGTGAGTCTGTCTGGATCAAACTAAATGAACCCTGGGTGCTTGACTCATTCTTCTGCTATAATCATTAGACTGCAACTTATGTTCTGTATGAGCAAAGTCATTATCTTTCTAGCTTGCTCCTGTAAGCATCTGGATTCAGCAGCCAGAGTCCTGTCTTGTCAGGGCTGTTCACTATGCCCAGTATGAAATGGGAAGCACCTATTATGAGTCACAACATTTAACAGGGCAATAAGTATAAACTGCAAAGGTGTAGTTTATAAAGGTACATCAGCTTGTATATGGCAATAGCCTTTCTAATTGAAAGGATTAAAGGCTTATTGTTGGCTTAGTGTATGACTCAAAATACTGCATTCTCCTTTAGGGACTTCCGTTCTAGATATATAACTTTTTTTTTCTTTTAAACCATCAATGTTGCAAAAAATTTACTGAGGGTATTGAGCTTTAAAAGGCTCTACAATTTACAGTACCCAAGCCCCTAATTCAATTTTCTTTTCCTCTCAGGATTTGGGATTTCTTGATGCCTCTGCACTAGTTTTATATTCGCGTGCCATCAAGTATTTAGCCATCTCTTCCTGAACACCACTCTGCTGCTTCAGTCTTTCTTCTTATATTGAGGCAGTAACTTGCCTATCATAAGTGTCCAACATCCGATCAATGTCTCAATTGTAGTGTGTCGTCGTCTTTGTTAGAAGTCCAAGCCTCTTTAAGCTGTAGCTGACAGCGATGGCAAGCTCCTCTGCAGTTGCCATAGTATTCTACTCATAGCACTAGAGTCTCCACAACCTCTCTCCCAACTTCCAATGCCAGGCCTTCTCTACTGAAGCTCTACATCTACTCCATGAAGTAGTAGGAATAAGGGCAGTGTGTGGTAAGAGGGGAAATAAACTTGACATGTTTGCTTGTTTCTCGCTTTTCTATCTATATAGGGATTCACACTTACCAAGACTGTATCTTCCTTGGCTTCAAACCGCCATACTTAAACCTCCAGATCAGTTAAGTTTTGAGTCTAGGTGCATTTGTACCTAATCTATGCTAAAATGGGACCTCTCTCCTGTTTAACTCCAACCCAGTTAGATTGGTCAAAATATAATTATCTCTGTTAATGCTAGAAAACAACTTGGCTGGGCTGGTAATGAGCCCCTTGATATCAGTGCAGAAATCTGATATTGGAAGTATTGGTCAAGAATGATGGTACTAAGGGTCCTGAGAACACTGTTTAGACTATTGATTTGGCAAGCATTCCTGAGATTCCTTGACTTAGTAGGTACTCCTAAATCTAGTACTGCACCAGTAAACCTAGCTATAGAGCAAGCCTGTCAACTGATGAGGTGACCCACATGTGGAACATGAACAGGTATCTGGGTTGTGTGCTTGCTTTTCTTCTGGGAGTTGAACTGGGGGTGTTGATGGGATCCCCAGTCATGAGAAGGCAGTGGGAGCCTGGCAGGTGACTTCTAAGCAGTGAGTCTAAATGTTCAGTTGTTCACTTAGCTAGCTGAGAGCTCTGTGGAATTTTGAGTTAAAATGACACTTTGTCCTCTGGAAAAATAAAATACTCCTAAACATTGTAGTCTGAGTATTTGGAGGGGATGGCAAGTAGCTTGTAAAAAGTTCTTATCCATCCATTGTGTAAGCTAATGCTATTACCATGAGTGCCAGTGTTACAAAATGTTTAAGCCTAATATAGGTTAGTGTCATCTGACTCAATTTTCTAGTGTTGGCCTTGCAAAGAACTACTTACTGATAATTCTTTAATTCCCCAGTGAAGGTGGCGTCTTCAAGGCTCATCTCACTTTTCCAAAAGACTATCCTCTCAGGCCGCCGAAAATGAAGTTCATCACAGAAATCTGGCATCCAAATGGTAAGAATTGCTACAGTTTTAGTTTTCTGTAATTGTAAATGAAATTGAAGGTGTGTCTAAAAAAAGCCAGAGTTGACATGTCCTGTTATAAGAAACCTGTAACAACCCCACTGTTTAGCTAACTGCCAGATCTTGTGTTATACTATTTCTCCTCTCCATACTTGACACTTCAGGGGTCTAGAGGTCTGCTCTCCAAGCATCTGCATCAGCCCTCCCAGGGTTTAGGCAGCATGTATTGATGGGCTGTGTCTGGCCCAGAGAAACAGGTGGGGCCTTCTCCTTAATGTAAGTCTTTGGTCTGGGAAAAGAAAAAAACTGGGTCCTTGGGTTAACTTTACATCACTGGCTTGGCAGATACAAGCTGGAAGGTGAAAAGAAGTGACTTTGTCTTCAGAAGACGGAAGGGAGGTTTCTATAGTCACACGTATATTGGGCTGAAGAACTTTACTGAGTTCCATAAATCTGTAGTAAAGCTTAGCAGCAAACCAGCACAAAGTGCTTCCGTAATAGGGGGGGAGGGGGAAGAGACGGAGGCCTAATAGTGACATCAAGTCAAATCCCAACTTTCACATACATTGACTGACATCCACAGGGAAGACACGGCTTTATACCCACTCCTTAAGGTACTGATCACCTGCCCTGCCAGGGGGGCTTGCTGGCTGTACATCGAAGACTCTCTGAACTCAGATTTATGCATTCACAAGTGGGGGGGAAATGGAGGTATCAAAATGGTCCACAGGGCCATTAGTTTTCCATGTGTTCATGGATGGATCGGATCAGTGATGTGAATAGTCTACAGTTCTACTGTAACCTTTTTGGTATGAAAAAGGTGAAGATTTCATTTTGTAGAAATATGAAAGGGCTACAATTAAACTGAACACTTAAACTGTCAAAGTACTCAACGTACCCATATTAAGGCAGATATTTGCTTTAAATTAAAGTAGACTAGGGCAAGCCTGCTGTCTTGCCAAATTTCAGTTTTTGCAGTTTCTTTGTAAAGTCCTTGAACAGTGATATAAACTTGACAGTGTCTTGAAAGAAAGTGTCTTCCCTGAAACTTCCCACAGCTAACTGTTTTGAAGGTACTTGGATAGAACGCTTGTTTGGATGGAGAATAGCATCCCCATATAATACCTTGAAGCCAGCAATTTAATCAACACTAAAATATACCTAATGTGACTGCTTGACTTTGTAGTTGACAAGAACGGTGATGTCTGCATTTCCATTCTTCATGAGCCTGGAGAAGACAAATATGGCTATGAAAAACCTGAGGAACGCTGGCTTCCCATCCACACAGTGGAAACTATAATGATTAGTGTCATTTCTATGCTGGCAGATCCCAATGGTGACTCTCCTGCTAATGTTGATGCAGCGGTAAGACTGCTGGTTCGTAAATACAGTGGTGCTATGTGTAGCAGATAGCTTATTTATTGTAAATGCAAAAACCTGAAGGACATATTTTATGACTTGGTAAGCATGGTATTAGATGACTGGTAAGCAAAGACTGTACTCTTGCCCAGTAAAAATGTACGTGTAATGAAGCTTAAGAGCTAGTCTTAAAGGCTAGCGTCTGAAATTCACCCCAGACTTGCTTTGTGGATTACTTTTTCTTGGTAAACAAGTATTTTTGTTGCTAACTACAGACAAAATCCTCCTGCTTCATAGGCTGAACAAGGCAGACACTGAAGCCGACTTGTCAGATAGCAACTTATACAGGATACAGAAACAGGCAGGGTAGAGACTTTCTGCATTAAATTTTGAGGTTTGGTTGCTCAAATGTAATAGCAAAACTTCAGCTGTCTCCATAGACATTGAAACTTGATGTAAGTGGCTATGACTAGATACAACTTGCCAACCAGTGTCAACCGGTGATCTGAAGATGTAAAATACAACTTTTGTAGCTCACAACTCCTGTGTCTTTGTCTATGCTGGAAACCCTTTCTGATGGTTCATATGCTACTTAGCATATAGTGCAGAAAAGGTTTGTTTAGGGAGTCTTTAGTGTCTTGGATGAGACTAACCATAGAAACTGATGCAGGGATCTCAGCAGGAAAAGTTAGTGATAAAAATGTATCTGTTCTTCCTCTTGCCCCTAAAACGTCAGCCTATGTCAGTGTCATGAGTATAGAGTTAAACAGCATATACATGGGAGTTAATGCCTTCTTTTACAGACTTCAAATAGTGGAGGAATTGCCACTTAAAGTTGGGAGAGGTGGAGGGGGAGAAAGGGCTACCCAGGAGGGTGCAGAAGATATCTAAATTAAGATGAGAAGGTCTTTAATAATGCAGGAGGCTGTAGGGATGTGTGTCTAGTGTCACTCTGCTGAAGTGGGAGCTCAGCTTTCCCAAGTCTGGGAAAGCTAGTGGTACAGTATGAGGGTCAGTCTTGATTAGTAGACTTGTTCTCATATCAGTGGTGGAAACAGTCTTTTCCCAATACAAAATAGTTATCAAAGAAAGCAGTTCTTGGTTATTTTTCTGTACACATTCAACCACTCATGCTGTGCATGTTGGAGACTTGAGTATCCATTGGAGACTTGAGTATCAAGGAGACACAGATCTTTCATACAGCAAACTTGAATCCTATGGAGGAGCAAACTGGGCTTTAAATGCCCAATAGTGTGTGGTACATTTTAGTTCTCTAATGACTATTTAACACTAATCTGTAGCTGACTTTTTCTGGTTTCTACATATTTATCTTTACACACTACATCTGGTGATCTTTCACCAAAACTTCCAGTAACTCGCTTCTTTGAAAAGTGTGCTGCTGCTTTCCCAGTAGGTATTTTGTGAAAGGGACACTCCTTTTTGCATATCTATAAAAGCACATGCTAGACTAAATGTCCAAACTTGTGAAAGTTATTCCAAAGGTAGGGAGAAAATTGCTGGCAAGAAGTTGAAAGGCTTCAAGTTTCATCCTGTGGTATGCTTCATATTAATTTCCACACAAGTAGTGTGGGTTTGTCAGGTCTCTTAACTCTTTGAGCTGGGTTTGTAAACATGCTGTGTCTCTAGAAAATACCCTCCTGGAGTCTAGTCCTTAAATATAGGCATTTTGCATGGCCTAGTGTAATAGGACCAAATGCTACTGCTATGCAATACCCTGAATTCCCATCCACACACAAACATGCGAAACTTTAGTGCATAGTCAAAATACTCATTGATGTGAAACTTCTCCCCTCCCCTCCCCTCAAGATAGTGGGATTTTACTGTGCTGTCCAGGAAGCCCAGCATTTCTCACTGGATCTTGTCTCACTTTCTTTGCTTTTACCCCTTGGCCAGTGTGCCCCAGAGAAGGGAGCTTATAGATCGCTTAAACAGCTCATCTCCTTAGGTCTCTGCTACACTGGTGTCTTCTGTTTAACTTCTGCTTTTGGTTTGCCCAGCTTACTGGCTACAGGCAAGACTCAACATCTGGCTCCCTGATTTCCTGATCACTAGATTAGTGTATCTTCCTATTGGGGAATCTAGAGAACAGATGGCTACAGACAAGAGATGGCTGGCATGGTGGGAATGAAAAAGCAGTGTCTGAAATCCATGTTGCATTTGTTGCTTAATTTGCCACACATCTGGGGGAGGTGAGGAGGAGTCCAAAGGGACCTGCCTGCTATGTTTGAGGCAGTTGATGCCTTTCAGAGCTCTTGTTTCAGGTCCTCTGACTTTGGAAGGCATTCCTGCTTCAGTTGATGCTCTAATGTTTGAGGTCTCTGCACCCATAAGGATTAGAAAACACTTTTTTTAGCTAAGATTTTGGAGCACAACTCCTTAGAAAGATGGAATTCTGTGTCTAATTCTGCAGTTGAACGCACAGGAGGCCACACAGCAAATGCCTGCCTCCTTGGGAGCGTGCATTTGCTGTACAGTCTATTGCCTGTCATCTCTTCATTCTGGGTCTTAATTTCAATTCCTCTATGTCATATTTAACAGCTCTTACATTTTTGTTTCCCTTTCTTACCCCAAAAGGGAGGGAAACATGAAGCCCCTTCAAAGAGCCAGTAGCTGATAGCTTGACCAGCTGGAGTGCAGTAACAGTAGTGAGACTTCATAAATATCTTACACAGAAATACCTCAAACACTTTCTACTGGAAAGAATGGAGAGGTCTCCTGCATGCATGGCCTACATGGTGTCTGTACAGAGCAGTTATCAACACTGTACACATGCAGTATAAGCAAGGCTTGGAAATCTAAACTAACCCCTCTCCACAGACTCAAACTTATGAGGGAGTGGGCCATTCAATATCGATCACTCACTAATTAGTGTCCAATAATAAGTCAAGTTTCTGCTCTCTTCACCTTCCATGAAACATGGCTTGAACTAGCAACCCATGGTGCCTTGCTCCCCTGTATCTAACTCTTTTTTTTCTGTTTTTTAAAACGTGTGTGTGTGGCTTTTCTTCATAAAAAGCACTTTCCAAATAGGCACAAGATCAAGCCAGTAACGATGCATTTGTATATATGTTTGCAGTGGCATCATGCTGTACAAATACCAGGCTCAAACTTCTTGCTTACTTAACTTCCTCTTTACCTCTTGTCTGGGAAAGGGCTGCATAGGTGAGGAATAGAGTTGTCCTGGTCACCTTGCCACCTTAGGATGCTCAGATTTCTAATGGAATTTTGTATGTGCGCACTCTTGTCCATGTCTGGCTATTAAGTATCTCTTAACTTCCTGCATCCTCTAAATGCCATAAGGAAATAGGCTTTTTCCTTTCCTTACTATACCCCTTGAGTACCCCTTTAAGTGGCAGGATAATGGGCATAACTTCCATGTGGATATCGATAGTACCAGCTTCGGCCTGTAGTTTTTTGCTAAGCACCATTGGACAACTGACTTGTTTCACAACTGCCCATGAGATTCTGAATAGCAAGTGTGGTGTTGACACCAGAACTGGAAGACTGAAGTTAATAACTCAGGGAATTTTTGATAAATTGGAGAGGGTTCAGAGAAGAGCTATGAGAGGGAGTGAAGAATTGGGAAAACTTGTCTTAAAGCAGCTTAGTCTCTCCAGCTTGAAGAGAGATTAAGGGCTGACTTGATCATTCTGTAAGTACTTACATGGAAAACAGAAATTTGAGAAGCCCTGTATCAATCTAACAAATGTTTAATGAGCTAATGGCAGGAAGTTGAAGCAAGACCAACTCACAATTTCATAATAATAAAAAAGCAAATTTCCAACAGTGAGGGTAACTGTAAGGGTTGTAGTGGATTCTCCATCATGAGCAATTAAATTAAGATTCTATTTTTCTAAAAGATATAGCTATGCTCTAGTTGAAACAAGAATGAATTCAGGGAAATCTATAGCCTATGTTAAGCAGATCAGGTGAGATGATCATAATGGTCTTTCTGGCCTTCTCTATGAATCTGCTTTGGCTTTGCAGATGCTTTGGAACAGACCAAACAACTCACTATAGTCTCTTGGAATCTGGCTCCTGTTTGGAAGAAACTAGGTGGAGAGAAGGGTTTGCAACCACAAGGGCTAAAAACTTCTACTGATGAAAGCTCAGACTGTAGAATGGCCTAGGTGTCCATAGTTTTAGGGACAAGCTTTCCAGGAGCCTAGGGTGATCTTGCATTCTCCAAGCCTTGAATGCCACGACTACTTCCAGGAACAGGTTCGCTAGCTTTAAACACCTTTTAAGAAAATCTCTTGGACTCAGAACACCTAGGTACTGAAAACTTAAATATGAAACTTCTTGCTAGAATAAGCTTATCGCAGCGCTAAACTCAAAGTTGTCCTACTTCTTTACAGAAAGAATGGAGAGAAGACAGAAACGGAGAATTCAAAAGGAAAGTTGCCCGCTGTGTAAGAAAAAGCCAAGAGACTGCTTTTGAGTGACACTTATTCAGCAGCTAGTAGCTTCACTTTTTTTCAGGGTAAGTAGTAATTTCTTCAAAGAAAGACCCTTCACCTCCATTAGTAGGAGGCTTGAAGGACAAACTAACAGTACAACACAGTCTGGATGCAGGCATAAATACCTTCCCCCTCATCTTTCCAAAAAACTTGGCTCTTTCTCCCAATTACTCTCCGTTTCAGTGGCAATATCTCCACAGCCTCATGTCTGTAGACCAGCACTGCCAAAGACTACAAGGCTATGGAGACACTGAATGTAACTTTTATTTTTCCTTCATGCATTACTGTCTACCAACCCAGACAAAGAATTTAGTAAACTTGCATTATTTTATTAGCATGTCTTCAATACACTGCCCAAAGCCTGAGATTAGATTTGGTTTAGCAGTATTTTATACCAGTTCACTAATCTCATTAGTGGCGACAAATACACTTGTAATATATTTAGCATCAAAAGTGGACATCCACTATAGCTTCCTGCCCAAGCAGGCTTCCCAACAAGCTTTAAAATTCAGATGTCCGTTGCCAGCCCAAACTGCAAATGTTGATGTACATGTGGTGTCAATCTGTGCACAGATGCTGATAGCAAGGCCACTTGCAGGCTCCATCTATTTTTAGGGTCTTAGGATCAGTCAGTGGTTGGGAAGACATGTCAGCCTTTTTTAAGCTTTCTCTTGAGTTAAAGATCTTATAATACTTCTAGGATTGATGGAGATATGTATAAAAAATTTTTTCCCCCTAGTCAATCTCAACATATGGCACCAAGAAAGTGTCTTGCATTGCCCCATAGTAGTAATACAAGATGCTTAATTTTAGTAGCTCCTCAGGGAAAATAAATCCACTTGACAACTCCTCGTGGTAGTCAGCAGTAATTCTGCTTGGGAGCTGAACTTTATAACACCCTTGAATTTCTCTCCAAGCTTTAACTCTGGGATTAATACCACTTGTCAAATATTTATTGCCAACAACCACAGGCTGAAGACTGAAAAAAGTCTCTTTCCACACCCCCCCCCCCCCAACAACTTTTGATTTTTGACTTGAGTTCTTCAGTGTAACTTGAAACAAAGAATTCTAATGCTTTTAGAGATGTCTCACAATGATTTTTACTCCTACAGTAACTTCTCTGCAGAACAGAGGCTAGACTACTGAGTACCAAATGAGTTGTTTAAGACCTTTTCCTTCTGTAACTCTTACGCCCTGAGATCAGAAACCTCAGGATGGAGAGGTAGTTAAACCATTGCCCTTAAGCAACCTACTTCTGATACAAGAGGGATGCTGAACTGGAAGCTTCCATTTAAAATGTAAACTGTGGCAGGCTGCAAGACCTAATGCTATAAAAGGACAAATTGTGTTACAACCTATATAACCATGACTAATTGCAAAGTACTATACTCTTAGTACTTTGTAACTAGTCTCTAGGTCAGTAAGGTGACTAAAACTTTCCTGTTTAGTGTTCTTCACTGCTGTTGAATTGTATCTTCACCTGAAAAGGGTTTTAAGCCTTTTAACTTGAATTGCAGCATGCTCAGGAGTAACTTCTGCATTCAGCTAGGTCAGTTGATTTCCAGAGTGAGATGTCACTTAGAAGTCTTGTGTTTAAATGGCTGATTTGGCACAAATATTCCTTCCAGTCTGTAAGCCACATCTTATCCACCACAATACACCTGTATTCCTTGCATTCAGTACCCTGAACAAAGTTGCATGGAAAAATAGGGCTGCTGAATGCCCTCACTATGGGAAGGAATTGTCTTAACTAACTGACCTTTCAAGGAAGCTTTGACAACTTGGAACAACTTGTGCTAGTTTTTGTTTCTTGACATACTGCTTTTAACATTAGCAAATCTTTTCTAAAGGTTTCATGTACTCTAGCTTCACAATTACTCAAGTCAGTCCCACTTGATACTGGTGCTGTCCATAGCAAACCGTCAGACAGGATTGACTTTAAATTTTAAAGTGTGTGCTTAAGAGCAAGTGGACTGTTCCTTCTAGTAAAATCTAAAGGAGATAGATAGGAAACATATCAATAACTTACACTGATATATTTCTCCCTCAGGAGATAAGGGGAACAGACCTAGAGCATGGGAATTCTCTAACTGGAGTGGGTATAGCAAACAAGGCAGTGTGCTGCTTTCAAGGTACCATAGTAGCCCCAATTCACTTTAAGAGCATGTTGCCATATTGAACAAGTGCAGTAGTGCAACTTGGCATGAATGATGTCCAAGAGTAGAAGGAAATAGTAAGCTGGCTATCTTGCTTATGGAAGGCAAGTTCTTTAACATTGAGTTATAGCACTGTGATTAAGAGCCTGGCTCTAATGACGGACCTAAAATAAGCACACTCACTTTTATAACAGTGATGCTTTATGCTGTAGCTCATGCTCCGTTCTGTAAAATACTACTATACTAGACTTCGGTCATTCAATAGCTAAAATGTTTGCTATACAAAATACTCAACTATAGCCTAGTCCTGGATGCATATGAGAAACCTACATATATAATGTATGCAAATGCTTAAGACATTTTTATTAAAATCTGACAGAGGTTTTGGGCTCAAATTTACCACCAGTGTTACAGCATTGCACTGGTTAGACTCCTCTCCTTGAGATGACTGCATAGTTAATGCTAAACACCAAGCAAAAGACATACACATTCAAGTAAACTGGCTTTGAGCACAGACAGCCATAAATAACTTTCTGTTGGGCTTCAAACACTGTTTCCCATCTTTGATGAAATGCAAGATCTTTAGTTGCTCAATATGGTAATACGGCTTTATCTTCTGTATTGTAGGTCTCCAGTTGAGAAACATGGCACTGTTTTTTCCTGCACTCTACCCACCTATTGCTGGACTTCTGTTGTAACATGTTGGCAAACACTGGCTGGAACTGGGCTGCAATAAAACATGCCAGTTATCAATGCTGACAAGCCTAACAAGTGCCAACATAAAAAGATGATTACGCATTTTGAAATCTAATGAACTGCTTTAACCTTCAGGAAGAATTGTAAAGATGTGTACATAGCACAACATGATCCGGATAATATATATACTGTTCATGTACATCCACAAATACACATTGTACCAAATAATGCTGTCTTGTAGTTAGGATAAGAATCGTGTACATTCTAAAAGATTTTAGCAAATTCTTTCCCTATTCATTGTTTTTTCTTATCAGTTTTTTAAAAACAAAACCTCTTGAAGCATGTCAAACTAAAACCGATTAGAATTAAAGCTTTTTCCATTTTATTTTTCTTTGAACAATTGAGGCTTAATTAAAAATTTTCACTTATTAAAGATTAGTATCTGTTTGGAAAAAACACTCCCTCCTTACCCTATATCTCTTCAAAGGTTCAGATTTTTCCTAATCAAACACTGAAAGGATCTATAAGCAAGTATCTGACTCTAATGACTTTTGACAACGAAAAAGTCATTTTCCTGCTCTCTTCTTCTCCTCCCCCCCCCCCTTTTTTTTTTTTTTGGACTCCGTTGCACACAGTTCCTGGATTGGGTGTAGCAATAAAACTTCTGGCTATGGAGCACCCTTGAGCCTGCTATTTTTTCAAAGGGCTGAGAGCTTTGGTTTTGAAAGTGATCAGTTGACTAAGCTCAAGATAGGATAAGCTGCTTTCTCTGGTTTTTTGCCTCTTGCCTTTGTTTTTAAGTTTTGGATTTAAAAGGTATGCACACTTGTAAGCTTTCAAATTAGTAAATTCTGGGTTTGGTATTGGAAATACCATTTCCTTTCTTATCCCTATTCTCTCTCCTGTGGTTCTTCATATTTTTGCCTTCTATTCTTCTACTGCAGATTTTCCTCACCTAATGTACAAAGAGAATTGCGATGTATATTTTCATGTAATTTGATTTTGGAATTCTGTCACCTTCTGTAGTGAGTTCTTCCAAAATATAATTTTTTCCAATAATTCTGTGTCAAGTTGGCTTTTTTAGTATTTGAGAAGTGTAGTTAGAGAAGCTTCAAACAGGTCATGGCCTGAGTAGGTGCTTTACTTCCGTTGTAATGAGATCAAGTGTTTTTTTCTTTTTTCTTTTTTTTAAAGACCATCTTGGGTGCTGTCTATTCTACTAAATGTTTGTAGTAGACCCCAAAAGCCATCATACAGCCCAGTGGGCGTGGCATCTGCTCTGAAGATTCAATACTAGCATGGACAATCTCAAAGAAGCAAAAAATAGGTTCTGCTCCAAGGTTCAGAGCACTCAGTGCATCCTCCAGTAAGGAGAGACTTGTTACTATCAAATTATTAAAACCACGGAGAGGAAACTAACATCAGAGATTCAGTAAAGGAGGAAATGTAACAAGGCACTAGAACATCAAAGCCAGTTCCTCTCTAATCCCTTACAGAAGGACAGTAAGTAGAAGGTGTGTGATGGGTGGAGGGAGACGTGCACAGAAGGCTCTATACTGTGAGGTATACGCTGCAAGACATAGAATATGTTCCCTAGATATAGTTGGCTGAGGTCTGGTGCCAAAGTGGTGTTAGTTCAGAGCCTTTTAGTTGGACTTTACTAGATCAGAAAGGGAAGAATTTCCAAGTCAAACTATGGAACCCTGTGACCCTCTTCAGAGGTGATAGGTCTTTTCATATGCTCTGGCACATGTGACCTAAGGTGCAACGAAGCATGCTTTATAAACTGAAGTAAAAAATGCAATCTCTCCTTTTATACAGCCAATTGTAGGCCTCCGATGAGCAGTAATACATACTACCACACAATGTTACTTAAATATCTCTCTACCAAGATAAACCTTTAGTATTTAAGACGTGACAGCAGAGTAAAAGTGTTGGCACACTCTTTCCACTAAAAGTCTTTCTAGTATAATAGCTGTGATGTGTTAATTGATAAGCCACACTTTCAGTTTGACTAGTAGTCATCCTGCAACAACTCCTTGAATAATCATTGGACTGAACAGTTGGCTGGACTTAATTCTAGATTGTAGCTTCACAAAAGTAAGCACCAAAAAAAGCATATGGCAAGCTTCTGGAGAGGAGATGGAGGTCAGGGGGTAGTTACTGCACTAATTAGTAGTGCTACAGCAACCACACTGTAAAAAGCCAATTAGCAAACACTAATTAAAACGTAAAATGGAAGGTTCTTCCTATGGCTTTAGATAAATGTAGAAGTACTTACTGTATTATCTATGTTTCTATATTTGGTCTTTAAAAATACTTTAGCAAAGCATGAATTCAACTGTTTTTAATTAAGTGGCCTCTTCTGGTAGGAAGACAGATGTATCTGGTGCTTCAGAGCTGTTAGTGCCCAGACACAATAGCTGATTTTTAGACATAAGCAAATGAGAACCAAAATTGCTTGGCTCCTGCTGAGGGGGATGAGGCTTCATGCCAGCCAGCTGGCTACCATTTGCTCCCTTTCACTTACATAAGAAGGCTCAGGATTGTACTGCATCCCAGCAGCATGGTGCCATCTATTCCATAATTAAAGCATTAAGAAAAATCCACTGTTTCTAGGACAACTATTGTGACCTAAAAGAGAGGTGTCTCCAGAAAGCCAGCTGCACCCAGAATTAGCCAAATAGCTGCTGTTATAGCAGGTTGAGCTCTGTGTTCCTACAAGGCGGTTGCCCATTTAAAAACAAATGCGTACATATAATCATAACTACGTTCACAAATAACTGAGTCAATCAGTTTAAGCTCAAGCTAACTTTTAGAACCTATGCTCCACATACCAGAGCTGCTTGCTTTTTGAAGAGGGAGAGCTAGGACAACCTTGCCTTGGGTAGCTGGCATGTTGAACCATTGTAATATCCAGCAACATCAGAAAGAGAAACAAGACAATGAGTTCTTTTGTGGATTATAGTGCATAAGTGCAAAAAACATGAACAGGGGCCAAGTAGAATGTTTGTGTACATCTATTATCTGCCCAGAAAAACAACTTTTATCTTTAAATGTCTTAAAAAAAGAGAGTCTATCATCCGTACTTGGTAAAATATGAGTTAAATGCTTAAGTAAGCTATCCTACCACAATTAAAGGAGAAATTAAATGTCCCTTGCAATTTAGAGGCTGCACTATATGGCAATAGTTCTCAGTTTTACTGGCCTAGAGCAAGGTTGCACAGAAATCTGGATAACTGCTAAGTTTCTGGGAGGTTGGCCTTGTGTGGGGTGATGTTAGTTAATTACTAGAGATAACACTGCCCTTACCTCAATAAATATTTCAAATATGAAATTTCTAATAGTTGGCTCATCCAGCTTCTTGTATGGCTCTCTCCAAGGTAGCATCTGAGCACTTACCTTGGGCTACTTAAATCTAGCAAATACCAAGACTGGTACTAGGAGCTTGTTGGGAATCCTGGTAATGCTCTTGTTACGTTCTGGGGCATCCAGAATTTTTAAACTAGTGATCCACCATAGGTTTTATTCTTAAATTCCCTAAATGCTGAAACAACTATTACTACTGTGACATCTGCTGCTGTGTAGATGTGAGACACTACAGCAGATGTGCATCCCAATGATGTATCCGAGTTAAGAAGTTATTAGTAAGGTGGGTCACTATGTGTATATTGAATAAAAATCAATATTTGCTTGTACTTGAGTCTGCCTTGATAGGTGAATGGAAATGGTCAGTTTGGCCTGGTCAAGAGCAGTAAAAACTTACTCCCTCAGCTTTGTCTTCCACCTACACTCGCAGGGAGAAGTGTAATAGGGGCTGTAGACACTGCTGCCAGATCTAGTGAGTATCACTGATGTAGATGCCAGTGGGTGACCTTGTGACACCATGCCCTACTGTAAGCAGCTACAGTAATTACAAATATTGTCATCTTCACAGAATAATGCCATGCTATCAGTGAGCGCAAGGTGAATTACTAAAGTAATCTGTGGCTCACAGTTATTGCCACTTGTGAAATCTGGCAACCAGTACAAATTTTACATGGATCTCCACTGAATTAGGCATTTATTTAACTACACCTTTCTTTGGGTTTTGGAGTGGGAAAGACTCCTAGTTATTTATAGTGCTTCTGTTTCCTTTCTAATGAGATGTAGAGACATGACTGGAAAATACAAAAAGCATGAGCATTGGGGACATTTTAATAGGTATTTTAACTGTTTCGATTTCCTCAAAATGTGGTAACCACACTTATCAATGTCCTTTACACTTTCCACCAGGCTGCCCCTTAGGCATCAGAGGAGCTTGCTGTAAAAACCTCTGAGGCCACTGCACTGCTCTCCTATAAATCTGTCCTTTGCTGCAATGCCTAGAAAATGCTCACCAAGGGCTAGGCAATTGGTAAATAGTGGCTGGAGAATAGTAACAGGGAGATAGTTAGGATAAGTATACTGTGTTGTATCCACCTCTGGTCTACACTGGGAACTTACAGGAGAATAGCTATGTCTCAGGGTGAATCTGCAGCCCTGAGAGACATAGTTATGCTGACTTTACCTCCAGCATAAAACAACACTAGGATGATAGAAGAATTCTTCTGTTAACCTAGCTATCACCTCTGGGGGAGGTGAATTACCTATGCTGACAGGAGAACCCCTCCTGTCGCATAAGGAGCATCTGTACTGAAGTGCTACAGTGGCACAGCTATTTCACTGCAGCTGTGCCTTTGTACTTGTTTAAGTGTAGATGTACCCTTAGCATGTAAAAAAAAAAAAAAAAAAAAAGGAGTACTTGTGGCATCTTAGAGACTGACAAATTTGTTAGTCTCTAAGGTGCCACAAGTCCTCCTTTTCTTTTTGCGGATACAGACTAACACGGCTGCTACTCTAAAACCTTAGAATGTAAGTTTCCCTAGAAAAGGGACTGGTCTTCGTTGTATGTGTAAAGTGCTTGGCATAATAGGGCTGAAGCACATAGGTGCGATTGGAATACAAATAGTGTAGCGTCCCATGTCGTGTGATATTGTATCTCCATAGAGGGTTGCACTGGTGGTGCACTCCAAAAAGGGAAGGACCTTGGGATTTCAGGAATGAGGAAATCTAAAATACAAATATTTCTCCTATCTCCCTGCATTGTGCCCTGTGAAAGCGAAGAGACAGGATTGCTGACCGCACTCCTTCCTAATGTATAACATATAATCATGCACAACCAAAGTGACCTGTTTAGTGATTATTAATAAACTAATGCGACCAAAAGTGGCCACATAGTGACCATTTTTCACAGCTACATCAACCAATCAGTTAGTGATATGCATAAAGCAGGGTGATGTATGTTGTGTGCATTGTAAATTATGTAAATAGCAAAGCTGTGTAACCTGCACCCCTTTGGCATACAATTGGGGTGTAAAACAAGTGTAACTTACACCCAGAGAACCAAAGGAGATGTAGCAAGGAAAGTCACTTGGATATCACCATATAGATGACAGACCTTCTCTGTTATTCTCTGGATACTTATATATCCCTTGTCATAAGCACCTCACACTTATGAATAGATTTTATCACATCATTCATGTGATGTAGAGAAGTACTACAGTATTCCTATTTTTACATATGGGAAACTGAAGTACAGGGTAGCTTAAGTGACATGCCCAAAATCACACACAGGAAGTCTGTGGCTGAGCAGGGAATTGAATCCAGTCCTCAAGTCCAATTCCAATGCCTATCTACTACTCTAGACCTCCTCCCTTAAATAGATAATACAGAGTGGGAGGGGAAACAAAGGCAGAGAGGTGAAGTGACTTACCAAAGGTCAGCCAGCAGATCAGTCGCTGAGCCACAAAGAAAACCCATAACACCCAATATCCAGTACAGGGGCCTATCCACTAGATCAGGCTGCTCTCTCCAGGTGGACTGCCCTGACAGTGGAGATCAGGAAAGGTGCTCTTGCTACCAGTCTCTAGAAGTTAGGATCTGAAGATTGAAGCCCATGTCCTGAGTCCTCACTTCTAGAATTAGCCTCCTAACATAGCCTGAGACTGCTGACCTCCAGGGCAGCATATACAACAGTG